TATACAGCCTGTACACGCAGCTGTAGGATGAGAGTGGTACTGAACCCCCTATGCTGTCACACAAGAAGATGTTTTCATACATCTGGGAGAATGTAAGCAAGTAGGTCAGTGGATTATGACTCAGTGATTTGGAGCAGAGGCAGAATTTGGGGGAGTAGTGGCAAGGCATTGCTTGAGAAAAAGTAACAAATGGAAAGTCTGAATGATGACTTAGGCTAAAAATATCAATGGGGAGAGCTGAACAAAATTAAATGTATGCATATGGCACAATACAGTCATGTTTAACACATCCAACACTTGGCTCTACCTTGGGAGAAACAGCCTGCGGGTGCATGTCAGTGTTTTGCCTCTGGTATGAATACCAGGGGGCAGAGCAGGACACGCAGGGGGATATCTCTAAACTTCTCCCTCAGACTCTTCCATTTCTAACAAACTGCTAATACAGTAGCAAGAATGATAAAAAATTGCTTATGTATTTCTGTAAATATTGAAATATTCAGGATTGTGTTGTGCTTGGCACAAGCATGCAATCCGCTGACAAGAAGATTGGAACTTTTGATTAGTTGACAGATCACATATAATGGAGAAAGCTGCTGCTGTTTTACATTCTCTTAAAACCATATCCATCTCAGTCTTAAAACATCCCCACTTGACAAAGCAGACTTCCTGAGTCGGGGAATTTTTTATATATATATGAGTCATATCCCAACACAACATAATAAAGGGTCTTTTAAAGAAAGCAGTTTGAAGTTTTGGCTGCTTTTGAGTGATCCACTTGATTGGGTTAGTGCATGCTGGTGGCCGACCTTCTGCTGACAGGTTCTTGAACTGAGATTAGTGGTAACAGACCAGAAGAAATAAATTATATCAAATATGCCAGTATGGCACAGCTCATATTGGAAGGGAGGAAGCAGGTAAAAATATTTGATGGATACATGTTGAGTTTCTAGTTACTAGTTGAGTGGAGCGTTTTTTCTAAGTATATCCCACAGGTTTTCATGTTAGCTGAGGGTCTAACCTCACTTTTTATGGAGAATACGATGTTTGCACAGCTACCAGAAGCTTCTTTCTTCTTAAGGTAGGATATGACCAAAAAGAGGGCCTGAAATATGTTTCCTTCAGTGTTTGAAATACGTCATGCATGTGTAACAGAGAATTTGTGCCAAGTGATGTTTCAGCAGTAAATGTTAAGCTTTTTGTTATTTCTCACTCTGTTTGCTGAGCAACCAGTCCTAAGAGGTTGTAGCTGCTGGTGAGGGGAGGCATTACTGTTTGGTGTAGGAGAGAGCAAACAGCAAGAAGGGGAAAATACAGGTTGAGTGTCAGGGAGTGTCATCAGTAAGGCCTGGTGGGTGCTCAGACGACCGACAAATCTCCTGCAGTGTGTAGGATGGCAGTGCAGAAGGGCTTAGGCAGCAAAGGCAAGTCTTTCGTCCCGCTCTGAATCCTCTGGTGAGGACAGCCCCAGCTCTAGTGCTTGCAGGGCTGATTTATTCATCTTAGTTACTGCAGCCACATATAAGTCCCTGCAAAAGCACTGAAGGGTTGCCTCTCCTAAGAGGACTTATTGGGCATTGTCTTCAGCCATGGTAATGTTAAGGGCCTGGCTCAGAGGTGGCTGAAGTGAAGAGACACTTGTAGGAGCTGGGCTGTGAGCAAGGGTCTCGTCTGTGTTAGCTTTCGTGATTGACTGTAGTTGTGTGGTGGTGACTCTTGGCCTTTCCCATTGGGACTTATAAATGTCGGTGGGACCAGCTAAGGGCGCAGCAGGCTCCTTTCATCCCCACAATAACTCCAGGGAGTTCAAGTTGTCAGGAGGTTCTGACCGTGGTGGCACAACCCACGTAGTGTTGGGGGAATATCTTCCAAAGGGAGAGTCGTTGGCCGTCTCTGTCGTGTCGCAGCAAAGAATTGCAGGACAAGAGCCAGGGTTAAAGCTCTGAGTAAAACAGCACGAGAGGCCATCCAGAGAGGTGTAACCACGCGCCTCTCACCCTGCAGTGAGTGCACGAGAGCCTGTGTGTGCGCGTCTCTCAGATTCACTGCTGCCTAATTTCCCTTCTTCAAAATATCAACCAACATCTAGTGCCAAGAAACCTAATAATCTATTTATTAAAAATGAGGCAGACAATAAGTTTGTGTGGGGAAATGTTAAGGCAGCACACATTGATCATGCTGATTTAGGACAGTATTGCCATCGCAGCATTCCCAGAGACGAATTCTTTGCAGCTAATTGCATTATAAATTCCGCTAAACCATTTTCATAAGGTATTTCCCTAAGATCTAAGCCCTCTGTCAAAAATAAAACCAAAAGAGCAAAGGACCAGTCGTGGAGGTTTTTAATTAAATGTTATATGAAAGTAAGGCAAGAGAGAGAGAAAAAAATGTAAATTATGTTAATTAAATGCTAAGTCTACTGTAAGGTGCTAGTTTTAAACACTGTGGGACATGTTGAAATACAGATTTTTCCATCTGAAAGCCAAAGAAGTAGAGTCCTGAGGTCTTTGTCCTCAGATCAAGATGGTCCTGAGCCACCCATTCTGGGTGAGGATGCTGTGGTGGCCCCTGGCCGTGGCATTACGGTGTCTGCAGTGGGTGTCCTGGGCTAGAGACACCGATGGGCAGCAGCAGTCATCATC